TAAAATAGAGATATAAATTTTTGAGATATAAATTTTTGAAAGTTTCCAGAAATAAGTTCTATTAACCAGATTCAATATCCATATTTAAATATTTCCATATCAACAAAATGATTTATTACTTTTCTTAAAAACAAAAAAGTAAAAAGCCAATTTCCTTTTCTATAGTTCTATGGTTCTCTGACTTTTTTATTAAAAGAAAAAAAGCCACTTAAAACTTAAATTCTATTGTGACCATATTCTTCTAATACCAAAGATAAAGCTGGATGTGAAAAAAAAAATGAGAAATAGAAAAATTAGGTATATAATCGCCAGGCGAAGAAGAATTAACACTTATGGGACCAGACCACTCTGAGGGTGAGGGCCAGGCTGGAGCATGTCTGGCTGCTCAATGGTTTTTCAGTAAAACAGCTTATTCATTAATTAAAAACTAATAAAAGAGCTTTCATCTACCGTAAGTAGACGAATGGGGGAAGAAGGGGAAAAAAGGGGAGTAAGTGTAGAACAGAATTAAGGGGAGGTGGTCCAAACCAATATTGATAGTTCTAGATTAACTAAGAAACGGAAAGAATTATTCTTTGTAAGCAAGAACTCTGCTAGCGCTCCCAAAGTGGAGTCTAAGGAAGTGGTAACTGCTGAGGCCTGAGGGCAGTGTGTACATTTTCTTTCCCTATTTCTTCAACAGTGGACAAATGTCTTCCCTGCTTTTACCTAGATTCCATGTTGGCTAGGTTGGGCCACGATTCAGTGCAGGCTTAAATAAACTTCCTCAGAGCCTGGGGCCACTGTCCGTCCTCAGTACCGCAGCCAGGCCTACTTACCCATGCTCATCTTGATTGGCAGACGCTCTCTGCTCGCTGCCTCCACTAGATGTCTCCGAACTTCCATCACCGCCTCTTTGTGCTTGCTGTCCAGTAAGGCTGCCCACAGGGCTTTGGCTGAGGTGTCGCTGCAGTAAAACCACAAAAAGAGCTTTAGAATAAATTTCTTCTGGATAATGGAAAGAGTTGAAAGCAGAATAATTTCTTAAATAACTTTTTTTGAGCACCAATGTAGTCTTTTCCTACAGACAGACTCGAGATGTTAGAATTAAATAAAGAATGTTTTGGCATAAAACATTCAGAAATTAAGGAGAAAA